GACCTTGCCAGCACCCGCAAGCAATGATGTCTACATTCTAACAGCTTTGTCTATTCCAGAGTTCTGAAATATCCTTCAGAGAAATGTTATCCTCAGCTTTAGAAAGTTGCCCTCTTTGCTTGTGTCTGAATGGAGGATGACTGTAAGTCGTCTAAATGTCTGTTTTTCAATACCTATACGTGATATGATATTTGCTTGTGAAATTTTAAAACTAGCAAAACATATATTTTTTTAAAAGAACCCTCGTCAATCCAGAAAACAGAAGATCCAAAGTAATAAACTTTGGAAGTTCACATATGTAAGCAATCAAATATTTGCTCTCTTTACCAAATAGAAAAATGGGTGGTAATATATGCTGAAATACTTGATTCTTCAACGGGATGACCTTAAAGCCTTTAGTTTGTATTTCATATCTTTTAGACCTGGAAATGAATATGGTTACACTATCTTCTCATGTGACCCACTAACTTTTTTCAAAATGTGTTAATGCTAATGATGGTGGTACTTCCACCATTTATTTTTTTTTTTAATTCTAGCACAAAGCTTTAACAGGTTAAAAAAATATTGTTGCCACTACTGATAACAAGAAAAAGCTCTGATACTGAATGGCTGTGTAATCTTGGGTGGTAATTTTGATTTTCTCATCTGTAAAATGTGTGAATTAAGACCTATCTTACAATATTTTTATCAAAATTAAAGATCGCATGTGAAGTGTCTGGGACTTCACATGAGCTCTCCATAAATTTCTGTGAAATGGTGGTGACTAAAGGAGATTGTTACAAGATTTTGGTAGCTTAATTTATTGTCCAAATAACAGAGAAAAAAAAACTTAGAGTTCCATCTGTAAATCAGTCATGAAAATAAGAAAACTTCAACAAAATAGTTTCATTTTATTAAGTGGGTAGAGCACTCAATCTAGAAGTTCCTCCAGGAAGTTATGCTATTCAGGTAGGGTGAAACAGTTAGGATCTCAGAATGAGACAAAATAAAATAGATTTAAAATTGCAACCAGAATGATCCCTGGTTGTGAGACATCAGAGTGGGGGAATTGAGGCATCTCTTTGGGTGGCTCGGGGAAATAAATTTCTGGGCTGGCTAGCTGACAGCCCACCAGGAGAGTGAGGAAGAACTGGGCAATCTATCAAGGTCTCAATGGCCCACTGGAAATTGGCCATTATTGAGCTAAAAATGAAATTAAGCTCAAATTAAAAGAACTAGTACTATGTGCCACAATTCTGCATGTGGTATCATTTTATCCAACAGAAAAATCTTTTCGCACAATTTACAGGAGATGCTGCTACTAAACTTCCATGTGGTTGAGTAAAGTCAGTACCTGCAGAACCACTATGACCAGTTTAACATATTATTCTTACTCACTTTCATGTGACATTCATTCCAAAGGACATTATGCTTTGTAAGATATTTCACAGTAGGGTTGCCAATTGGAATGAACCTCTTAAAATTATTTTCAAAAGCCATGATTCTTCCCTTTGACAATATACAGACACATTGTGCATTTGAGTAAACAGACACTAGCTCCTTTAAAGTTGCGTATTTTTTACTTAAAATCACCTACAAAGATAGCTTACTGGAAATATGAAACTGCTGCTCTAAACAAATTGCTAATAATTTAGAAATAAATGCTTTCCAGTTTAGCTACTTGGGGAAAACTACTGAATTTTCATTCTCTAAAATAACTGTAAAAATTACTTCTATTGCAAATTGTGTCACATATGTTATCCATATAGAACTCTTTAAATAGGATTAGGTTAATCCAGAGCCTTAACGTTAATAACGTTTGACTCTGAGCAGCATGGTATCCAAATGTGTGAGAAAGACATGTGGACTGGTCCCCATCACCATGAAATGCTTAAGAAGTATCCATCAAGTACTTGAATCTCAGCTGGATGCCTTAGATTTACATATTATAATGTCTCCTGTTCTCAAGGAACTCCTTTGTTCTGAGGAATTTATAAGCTGGCAAAGAGACATTATCAAAATTCAAAAGTATATTTTATGTATTATGTATATAATACATTATATGCTAGGGGTGTGTGTACATGTGCGTGGGAAAACTGAATACCAAATAAAGGAACAACCCAATTTTTTAAATGAGCAAATAGATTGAAACAGACACTTCACCAAAGATTTGCAAATAGCAAAGAAGCACATGAAAGATGCTCAACATCAGTAGTCATCAGGGAAATACAAATGAAAACCACAATGAAATACTACTACACACTTATTAGAAGGGTTAAAATTAGAAAGATTGACCATGCCAAGTATTGGTGAGAATGTAGAGGATCTGGAACTCTCACATATGTGTACTGGTGGGAATGTAAGATGATACAACTGCTTTAGAAAACAGCAGACTCTTGAATAACTCATGAGAAATAATTTGGTAGGAGTATTAAAGGCACATGTTTATACAGGTTGTGCACTGCAAACTTCTGGGGGAAACACAACCTAGTCTGTGTGCATGGTCTGTCCCTGATTATGTGCAGAGCATAATCTGGGAGGCCTTGTGTGGCAGATGTCACTAAGAAAGTTGGTTTTGAAGTGAGGAATAGTTACAGCAAGAGTTGGTGGGGAAAGGCAAGGACGATACATTTGAAAGCTGAAAAAAGAAGGCTGTTCTTGAGCTGTAAAATATCAGTTTTGGGGAGGGATAACATGGAGAGAAATACCAGATATAGGTGATGGGGGGATGGAGGCAGCAAACCACATTGCCATGTATGTACCTATGCAACAATCCCGCTTGATCTGCACTTGTACCCCAGAATCTAAAGTACAATAAAAAATATTTTTTAAAAAGATATCAGTTTTGCCACAATTGCTATACAAAAGTTACTATTAACAGTAACTGCAAAAACTGCAATAACTTTTGCACCAACCTAATAGAAATGAAAAAGAGGATGTGTGTAATTCAGTGGATAGGCCCCGGTGGCATATGCCTCCAAAGCTGGCAATATGAAAAGGAAAAACTTACTCAACAATACAAACCAACATTGGGGTTTGAAATGGAGGAAAATGAGTTAAAATAAGTGAAATTGCTACAATGGACACTTTTTCTATTAAGCAATATTGACCATTGACCTTCAGAAAACACCAAGAGCCATGTAAGAAAATGGCAAAAATTTTGTAGGGTTAGGGAGAGAGCTGGTGTACATGGGAAGATACTGTTTCAGGTTTCTTAAGGAGAACTCAGGAAGGGAAGAGGACTAGGAGAAACTAAGATTCATTGAGCATTTGTCTGTTATAATTTACATACATTTTCTATGGTGGGAAAGGCAAGAATTAATAACTTCACTAAATGCACCCAACTCAGTGTTAAACTCTTTGTAGGTAGTCTAAGTGAATCTCCTTGACAGCAAAATGACATAACTACTAGTTCACATTTTATAGATGAGGATATTGAAGACTAAAGACTTAAGGAACTTGTCATTAACATATATCACGGAAGAGGAAGAGTTGAGACTTTAAGTCAGGTCTTAGTTGCTCTGTCACTCACCCAAAACAGACCAAGGGTATAAAACTTCATTCTACAAAAGCAGCAAATAATAAACGATTACAAAACTTTGACTTAGCAATCAATGTCATCAGTTGATTAAAAGAGAAAAGGAGCAAGAGAGAGAGCAGAAAGAGTGAAAAAGATGAACATTGGTTAGCAGTCTCCACTTTACACCTCTTGTCTCATCCTGCCGTTCTCCAAGGTCATTCCAAGAGACCAGTGTAAATTATCACCCGTTTAATCTGTCCTCTAAAAAGATTTGTAGTCCTTTCTGAATCAGAAAGCAGCTCATTTTCCTTTTTAAGCTTCAAATTGCACTTTTGAAATGAAGTTTGATTTTTCTAGAAATTCTGAAAATTTTGCATGGATAGGAAAGAGTGATTTGAAATTTTGCTTTACAAAAAATCTGTACATTTACAATGGTTCTTGACCCGGGTCTCACATCAGAATCACCTGACACACCAATGAGCAGGACCCCCCTTCAGATGAATGAAATCTGAATCTGTGTAGGACAGGAATAGGTCCCAGCATATTCTTTTAACCAGCTCCTCCGTTGGGTTTCTAATGTGCAGCTAAGTTTGAGTACAAAATCTGGAACAAAAGTTATAGTTTACAGTTATTTTATTTAACTAGTATCCTGCAAATCATATGACACTGAAAAGCCATCTGACGATCTCATCTTTGTCTTTGAAAATTTGGAACTGCCTAAATTCTTCTGCGCCTGTCTTATTCAAGCGGAGACTAACTTCTTGCAGTTCTTGCACACAGCCTAAAGAAATGACAGGGAGCTCTGGATCCCAATTCAAATTCACCGTGTGGGTGTAGCTAACACCAGACCCAGGAAAGACGTGGGAGTGGGGAGGCTGTGCCAAGAGAGGCGGGGCAATGATTTCTCAGCTGTTTGGTTTTTACACTAGTGCCTTTGGCAAAAGCTCAGGAAGGAAAAACACATATGTGTAATTTCTGCAGCAACGTAATATCCAGAATTTTTCAAGCTTCCAAAGCTAAGTCAAAGGACTGGAAAGCCTTCCACTTACAGTTTATCAGGAAAGGGAAAATATATAAATCAGGAAAGATTTAACATTATTTAACTGTAAAAATGATCCGAGGCCTTGCTTTCTTCTTTTTTTCTATTCCCAAGCACCTACATTGTAGGTGGTTTATGAGCGATGTCTGGGTGTGATGGGAATAGGTAACAATCAAATGATTCCAGTTTAAGTTCAGGATCAGGCACTGGCAACTGTGTGACCAGAGGCAAGGTATTAACCACAATGGCCCAGGGAATGGGAAGAGGTAACACAAGTCCTACCTATCTCTGGATGCCAAATCAAAGAAGAGATAACATACATGAAAGCATTATATATGAAAGCTCTGTGTATGTAAATTTTTTTCATTGTTTTTTCATTTGCATTACATGAGTTTTAGCACCCTGCTTCTAGACAGGAATGAGGCTAAACCTCTTGCTAACCTCAGACTAATTGGAACCAACCTTCCACAGCTTCCCGTCAGCCTCCTTCCATGTGCTGTAAAGCCTCAGACTTGCTTTCTCAGCCACCAGCCCAGTGGAATGGCTAAAATAAAACATAGTCAACTTTATCTTCCACTTGAAACATCGGATTAATTCAGCATTCACAAATATTGGGAAACACCATGTTCTTAATGATGTGGGCCTCTGACCCTGTATTTATCAGCATCATAATTTTTTTTTTAAAGAAACTCTGCTTCTCTTTTGCATTCTGCAGGCAGATACAGGTGACCTTCAGCAGCCCTGCAGAATCCTTCATTATCACTGTATATTGCTAAGCCTTTGAGTAGCAGATTTGTAGCAACTAAAGAAAACTTGCAGAATCAAGACAGTAAGAGAGAAATTATACTTTGATTGAATTAATCAAAAGTTAAATGATCCTGACCAAAGCAGACTATCTTCTGCACTCTCCCATGTGATAGCTACCTGTGGTTACTGAGCAAAAAAAAATATATATATATATATATATATGGCTAGTCCAAATTGAGATGTGCTGTACATCTAATTTCCAAGAGCTATTCCTAAAAACAAAGAACATAAAATATCTAAATAATCTTATACTGATTACATGTCGAAGTGGCAGTATTTTGAATTATTAGATTAAATAAAATATATAATTAAAAGTACTTTTACCTTTTTAAAATCTTTTTAGTTTTTTTAATGTGTGCAATTTAACTGGAAAATTTAGAATCACATATGCGACTTGTATTGCATTTTTGTTGTTCAGGGATGATTTAGATCTTTGTTTTGCCCTGAGGAAAACTGTTGATAGTTTTCTGGTTGCCTCCACGATGCTCATGTGGTTAGAGCTCCAAACATAAGGGACACAACCACAAGCAGCACCACTAACTAAGAAAGTGCACATTAAATTGTCACTGGCTCTCGCTCTCTCTCTTTCTGTCTCTCTCTCTCTCTCTATATATATATATATATATGTATACTTTGTCTATATATATATACTGATTATACATATAATCAGTAGATAACATACAAAGCAGGTAACTTAAATGCAAATGTCTTACATTAGTTTCCCTAGAAACTTTCTCTCTCTCTCTCTCTCTCTATATATATATATATATAATCAGCAGATAATATGTATATATAATCAGTAGATAATATATATCAGTAGATAATATATATTATCAGTAGATTATATATAATCAGTAGATTATATATATATTATCAGTTGATTATATATATTATCAGTAGATTATATATTATCAGTAGATTATATGTATGTATTATCAGTAGATTTTATATATATTATTAGTAGATTTTATATATATAATCAGTAAATTTTATATATATATTATCAGTAGATCATATATATAATCAGTACATAATATATATAATAGTACATAATATATATAATCAGTAGATAATGTATATATTATCAGTAGATATATATATCATCTAGTAGATATATATAGTCAGTAGATAATATATATAATCAGTAGATAATATATATATAATCAGTAGATTATATATATACACATTATCAGTAGAGATATATATTATCAGTAGATATATATATATTATCAGTAGATATATATATATATAATCAGTAGATAATATATAAAGCAGGTAACTTGAATGGAAATGTCTTACATTATTTTCCCCAGAAACAGATCCTGAGACAGAGATTCAGTTGTATGTGATTCAGCATGGGAACATTCTCAGGAAACTCTTTTGTAAGAAAGGGAGTGAAGCAGGGTGGAGAAGGGGATGAAGCCAAACAAGGATTGGCCTAATTGTTGAGGAAAGTGAGTTTTGAAATTTAAATCTCACTGCAAAATTGTCCCACCTTGAGGCCAGGAAGCAGGCAGCACTTGAACAGCTGAAGATACAGCAATAAACCAAACAGACAAATATTTCTATTCCCATAGGGCTTACATTCTCTTGGGGTAGACAAGATAAACAAATATATAATATGTAAAGAAATAACACATGTTATGAAGAAACAAGCAAGAGAAGCTAGAGATTAGATGGGGAGGAAGCACAGTTTTGGTTAAAATGACCAGGAAAGACCTCTCTGAATAAGTGATGGATTTATAAATAGAGACAAGAATGAAGTAAGGAATTGAACCATGTGAGCATCTGGAGAGAAAGCATTTCTATGGAACAGCAGAGGCAAAGATTCTGATCTGAAGCACATTTATCTAACCAGGGAAGGACAGTGAAATCTGTGGGGCAGGAATGTGGGCAAAGGCAAGGAGCTAGCAGGGAGTCTGATCGTGGAGGCCTACAGGTTATTGTAAGAACTTGGGGTTTTATTGTGAAGACTGTCTTATAGGTCCCACCTCCCTGGCGTAGTGATTAGAGTAGAGCTGGCCTCAACCCTAACTGTAGCAATCATAGCCACCCAACATCATTGGCTGCATTCGAACCAGTGGTGAGCACCTAACTGGGCTGTGCCAGAGTCCTCCCCTGAAATGTTTCCCATTAGAGCTAAGAGAAGGGAAGAGTTCTTCTTGTGTGGCAACACTGTAAACACATGAGCTGTCATCTTTTGCAGAATAGGTCCAAATGATGAAGAGATGCAAAATGAGTGGTAGAGAAAGACAGTTTCATCTGTGAAGAAAAACTTGATTCCAGTCTCTCAGCCAGCTCGGTTCACCCATGCCCTCTCTTCAGTTTTGCCAAATATACCAATATTTAGTCTGAATTAATTAGATCTGGGTTCCAAGACTTAGAAGTCAGGATTCTTTTAATTCATAGTGCTCCTCCAAACATAAACCTTGTCCTCACTTGCTTATAACATCCATTTATATCATGTATTTTTTTTCTTATTACTGTCATCAAGCAACCTCCCAATCACTCCTTTTCATTCCTGGAAATCTGGCATCTCCTTCAAAGTAGATTTCTCTATGCCAACCCCGACATCATCATAAATGTGTCCTTGTGACAGTTCCCCGACCCTAGTCTCACGCTTCATTGGATTCTTCACTTCAAAGTACCTCTCTCCCTACCTTACTTGAATTAACTATTAGTGTGGCCAGACTCTGCAACATATTATTCCCCAGTTTTCCATGTCAGAAATCTTAAACTCCAGCACTTCAAACTCAACCTTATCTTTCCAAAAGGATATATAAGTCCGGATCTGCTGCTACCACACAGAAGCACCTGTTTCCAAATTAAAGCAACTCAGAGGTAAGTGGAGGCTGAAGATTCCCGAAGACACTGTTTGATGGCTAACCATGTAGGCCAACACATATGCTTTTTTTTCTTAATCCTTGGTTGGTTTTTTTGTTGCTTGCAACTGTAAGAGTCACTGCAAATGATTAATTCAAGGCCAGTTGCCTCTTATTTCTCTGAGCAATTATTACATACATGTTTTACTCCACATCAATGTACACTGACTATTCTCCATTTTCCTCTAACTTTTTAATATTTCAAGTATGTTCATATTTCTAATTGATGACAATCACACTGGCTATCACTTCTTGAGAAAATTAAAGCATATACACTCACACATACATATGCATCCATCCTAAAATTTTATCATCTTCTTCTCCTTTGGTTTCAGAGAACAGGTTCTTTCTCCTATCTGCCAAAACTTGACCTAATGCTGACCGAGTCCTCTGCCTTGTTCCTACCATTTTTTTCCCTGGGAAATTCCAGCTCAACCCTAACTCTTCAGATGTTCCATTCTCTAAGCAGGCTCACTTTCTTCAGCCTAAAAGCATGCTCATATCACTACCACCCAGAAAGGTTCTCTCCCTTTATGCTGTGCCCTCCCCCAGATCACCTCCATCTCTAAAAGTATGGACTTGGTCTGTAAACCTTCACAACTGGGCTTACCCACCTCTCACCTATAAGTACCCAGCTATAAGCTGGTGACTGACAAGTTGTTATCCAGCCTGATGTCTCCCCGCAGCTTCAAAATCGTAAGTCAAATATCTCCTTACATCTCCATTTACATGTAGGAGTCAACATGTCTATAATTGAGCTAATCATCTTTCTTTCTTTCCAAACCTGCTTGTATTAGGCCGTTCTTGCATTGCTATAAAGAAACCTCTGAGACTGGATAATTCATTTAAAAAAGAGGCTCAATTAGCTCTGGGTTCAGCAGGCTATACATGAAGCATAATGCTATAATCTGATCAGCTTCTGGGGAAGCCTCAGGAAACTTACAATCATGGCAGAAGGTGAACTAGGAGCAGGCACTGTCACATGGCCAGAGCAGGAGCAAGAGAGACAGCCAGGGAGGAGATGCCACACACTTTAAAAAACCAGATCTTGTGAGACATGAGGATGGCATCAAGGGGATGGTGCTAAACCATACATGAGAGATCCACCCCCATGATCCAATCACCTCCACCAGGCCCCACCTCCAACATACGGAATTACGATTTGACATGAGTTTTGAGCGGGGACACAGATAAAAACCATATCACTGCTCTTTATCCTACATTCCTAACCTAACTTGCTATCACTGCTATCCACTTACTCACCTAAGTTCATCTGTCATCGTCCAGACCTGCTAACTTACTTTTTAAATATTTCTCAGATCTGTGCCTGCTTGCCCACCTTAGCATGTGGACTACTGCAGTATACAGCTAAATCAGCCAGCCCTGGGATCCATCCTCCACTGCTGCAGCAACTGCCTATCCAAAATGCAAACATGACCATGCCTTCCTGTCAGCAATTTGTCAATATTTTAAAAATCTAACTGAAACTCAACAAATGTTTCTAGCATTTTGAGTTTTATAACTAATAGAGACGTGAATCATTCTCAAACAAAATAGAAATATTTTTCTTAGGGCCAGTGTGAATGGCCCATGGCATCTTTATATTCTATCAGAATACCATCAATGGTTGACTTTGTCTAGCTTTTATCCATCAAAAGCTGACTGGTTTTCTTTTTGTTCCTTTCAAATTTTAATTATTTGTTCATTTCTCTATAAAGTTTAATAAAAATTCATTTAGAAACGGAGGAATGGGTTGTCACAGCAACAGAACCCATGTGAATATAGGGTGCAATATTTAGATCAATATGAAATATTTGAGGAGTATGGAAAGAGGGTCCAGTATGCTTGGTCTTAGCCAAACACAGATTTCCATGAAAACTCCCAAAATGCTTCAAAGGTTTCCATAAAAAAGATTGAAAAGGCTCTGCAGACTTCAAAGCACTGTTTAAAATGTTTTGATGAGTTACGTGTAAATGAACATGCAGATTAAATTTCCATCTAAGTCCACATGCTCTTAAAACATTGAGGGGAAAGGGCTTTGCCAAACATGCTCTGGGTTTTTTTGAACTCAAAGCAGTTTGCAATATTCAACAAACCAAAATGTGGCAGGGCTCACTCATCCCTTCGCCCATCTCCTTACTAATTCAAAGCATAATCACTAACCAGCAAATGTGAAGAAGAAAGGGAAATGTATGCAGAAGTTTAAACTAAATGGAGCCTGATATTCCTGCTCATTTAAAGGAGGGGATGACTGTCTTAGAGCTATGGAAATTAGGTTTTTTTTCCTGCATTTTATTTAGTTTAATCAACAAATATATTTTTGAGCATCTACTGTATGCCAAGCATCAGAAAGGAGTCTAAGCAATATGAACTTTCTCTTAACTTTCCTAGGACATAGAAAAAAGACATTTTGCAAGCTTAAATACAGGAGCACTATCTGGCAAACCGTGTCAATGAGTGCTGTTGACGTCCCTAAATGTAGCACTATCTGACTCAGAAATCCAACTTACCAGCAAACAGACTGGTGACAAAACTAAAAGCAGCTGAATTTTAGCTTTTTCAGATTTAAAAACAAGTTGCCAGCTCCCTTCCATTGTCCATGCTGGTCAAAATTCCCTGTTACCCAAGGTCTTAGTCCCAAAGCCGTATGAGAGTCTACCTGAGTCATACTTGCCTGCTACTAATTAACACTTTAAAAGTGTCTGAGGCTGTTCGTATGTTCCTAAGGAGAAATCAAATGTGATCATCTCACTGTCCCCTCAAGGCAGACACAAAAAAGGGAGGAAGACAGTTGAGTGACTATGCTTAAAATCTTCAAAAGAGAAAGAGAAAAGATTACAGGATACAGAAGGCATTCCAAGAGCGAGGACCTCACATTCTATTTCTTTTTCATGCTTTCCTAAAATGCCTAATTCAAAAACCACTCTCCATTAAGTCACGAAACCTCTTAACACAAAAATCAAGCTCAAAGGAGGGAAGGACAGGGATTGCAGGGGAGATGGAGGGTAAGAGAGTGAGGGCGGGCCCAGAGGGAGCATTCCCTGGTGACAAACTACAACCTTTTTATCTTCTGCTTCTGGTTTATACTGTTAGTCATTTTTGGAGAGGTGAAAAATGAGGACATTCACCACTTGAGTGATGATACACATTTAACTCCAAATCTCTAACATATTCCCTGGACAGATTGAAAACAAACATGGCAAGAGAATAAATGAAAAGGAAAGGGTCTGTACTCCAAAAGTAAAAGATATGTGGGTCGTTGCTATCAGTTCTTTCTTCAGGAACGGTCGCACGGTGATTGAGTTACATAAGATATTGTGGGAATGAATTGTTATGCTGGGAGCAGCCTCGTGTTAGAGAAACGCTCTTCCCTAGATCAAGGATCACAAAACTAAACCAGAAGAAAAATGCACACGCAAAAAAATCTCTTCTGGAATGTGGAAGATTTTTTATTTCCATTTTGAGTGGTGCTGCATCTTTGCCACATATTCCGAGGTCATACACTGAATTCTCCATTTTTGACCGGCTACTAAGTTTCACAGAACAAAGAATCACCAAATCAGATTTTCCCAGTACATAAATTACATTCCGGGAATAAATCAGGCACCTCTGTAGCAGCACTGACTTTTTTAGGCCATCAGGACAACTATTACTGAATTACTGCTTCCATGGAATAAGTAGACTCTTGTCTTGATCTGAGAGAGTGAATTCCGTTTCTTAAAGGGCCAAATCTAGTATTTTTTGAGTAAACTGAAAGACTGGGGGTTTAACAGCAGGCAGGTCACATGCCAGAGGGACACATGTGGGATTACCATAGGTGCACAGGCATCAAGGGAGGACAGTCTGGTGGCCACAGGGTGCAATAAAGACCTGTAGCAGAGGGTCAGTGGCTTCACTGACAAGTATACCTGAAAGGCCAAAATCCTGTATTTTTTCTCATGCTCATTTACTTCTGAAAACTCAGTGGTCTTGAGTGGAACGAGGGGGAGATGACCAAGCAGGCAGGCACCAAAAAAGGTTCAGCCTCCATGTGGCAAAGACTACGACCTGGGCTAAATAGTGTAGGGAGACTACAGGGCTGCAGGCCAAGGGGTTAGGAGCTGTCTCTTTCCCTATCTATGCCTCACCTTGATCACAGGAATGCCGTGTGGTTAATTTGCTGGCCGAATAAAGATGGTTAAACACATTACATGCGCTTGGCTAGATGTTAAACGAATCAAGAAATAACTATTGTGTAAGTATACGTTTAATTACTTGTGAAGTATCTAGAGAAAACTTTCAATTTCACTAACACTTGTAAACCAATGAACATCTTCAAAAACCATAAAAATAAAAAAGAATATAAGAAGCAATAGGATACATTAAAGGATCAAATTACATTTTTAGATAAGAGTTACATATTTTAAATGCCTAATATTGTCTAGAAATTATTTTAGGCATTTTATATTTTAAAAATCCGATTTGTTCCTGACATGAAAATACATATTCCAGAATAGTAAAACTTGACAATATCTGAAGAACATTTAGCTTAATCTCTTCATTTTTGTCAGTTGGTTTCCTATCATGCTGTAATTGTAAATATTTAACTTGAAGAATATTTTTAAAAAGAGACATTCATAGTTCCACAACTTAACTACCTCATTGGAAAATTCCATAAAGTGAGATTTAAAAGCACACCTCCCAACTCCACCAGTGAGAAGCAGTTTGAAGACTTTCCTTTTGACTTTTTTCTGTGTTTATCAAGTTATTTCTACATTGAGAGAGAAACAGAGAGAGAGGAAGGGAATGAGGAATAAAGAGAAAGACTTAAAAATCATATTCTATCTTCTGATTCAGATGGTGCTTTTTCTTTTTCTGTTTGTTTGTTTTTTGTCTTGCTCTGTTGCCCAGGTTGGAGTGCAGTGGCGTAGTCTTGGCTCACTGCAACTTTCACCTCCCGGGTTTAAGCAATTCTCCCGCCTCAGCCTCACGAGTAGCTGGGACTACAGGTGCATACCACCATGCCCAGCTAATTTTTGTACTTTTAGTAGAAACAAGGTTTCACCATGTTGGCTGGGCTAGTCTCAAACTCCTGACCTTGTGATCCACCCGCTGTGGCCTTCCAAAGTGCTGGGATTACAGGCATGAGTCACTGTGCCCAGCCTAGATGATGCTTTTTCAATTTATAATAAACTGTTGACATTATTCAAGAAAAGCAAATATAGAGACTTTTTATTCTTTTTCATGGTTGTATAATACATTATTGTATTATGAACCATAATCTATCCAATTTTTTCTCTACTGATAGACAGTTAAGTTCTTTTCCATAATTTTCCCATCACAACCTAAACTAAAATGAATAATCTTACATACATACATATGTAAATTATATATATACACACACACACACATATATATATACACACACACATATATATCAATTTTTCTGGTCTCTGGTTTAAACTTGTAAAGGAAGATTCTAGATCAAAGCCTTCTCATTTTGCATACAAAGGAACTGATGCCCTCAACATGAGTCTACAGAGATTAGCTTGATGTAAATCAGAAGGCTCAGTGACCCCCAGCATGGGGAAAGAAAAGTGAATAGAGAAACTGTCAAGTGAGGAATCAGAAGTCGAAGGCTCAAGTTTCACTATGAAAGTTAGGAACCTGCTTAGGGTGCTGTGTATTACTATTAAACGCTCACTACACAGAAGGGACTCTGAACGGGGTGAGGAGACTAATCAGAGGCCCCAAATCTAGTGGAAGATCAGCCGCCATGAAAGCAGGGAGCTTAGGCCTGGTGCTTAATTACAACCTGCTGTGGTTTGAATGTGTGTGTCCCTACAATGTATATGTTGAAGCCTAATTACCAAGGTGATGGTATACTCGAAGGTGGGAATTTGGACAGGTGATTAGCTCACGAGGACTCTGCCCTTGTGCGTGGGATTAACACTTTTACAAAAGAGGCTTCAGGGAGCTGCCTTGCCTTTTTGTCCTTTTTGCCGTGTGAGGACACAGTGTTGGTCCCCTCCTGAGGGCACAGGAACAAGGCACCATCTTGGAAGCAGACAGCAGCCTCACCCGACACGAAATCTGCCAGCTCTTTCACCTTGGACTTTCTAACTTCCAGAACTGTGAGAAATAGATTTCTATCAGTTATCAATCACCTAGTTTAAGGTATTTTGGTACAGCAGCCCACATGGACTAAGACACAGTGCTTGAAGATAAAGGAGTGGGGCAGGACTGGAATTCAGACAAGAAACAGGAAGAAGAGAACATAACCACACGACGGCCATGCCTCACAGCAGCTGGTGAAGGCCACAGGCAAGAACACGCTCCGAGGGCCTTCCTGTTATTGCCTATTCTGTGACCCCTCTCCTCTGTCCCCAAGCTTCAATGAAAGCTGCCGCACAGCAAACCCTTGTAGGAGCAGTAACTTGGGGGAATAAAGCCAATAAAGCAAGAGAGGAATTGTCCCAAGTTTTAGGAGTGGCAAAGGCAGCAGAGGCCCAGGGTCAAGCGGGCAGATGAAGGCAAGAGCGGAAGCAAGCTGGGGCCTGCAGTGACCAGGAACAGAAAAGACCCAGACCATCGTATCCACAGGAGCTAGAGGAAGACGACCTGGAAGAGGGAGGAGTTCACGCTCTTATTTTACATAAATAGGGGCCGTCTATGAGCTGCCACATGGATCACCAATGGATAGTCCTATTATTTTAATTTTTTTTCATTTCAGCAAATATATCAGAAACACATTCACCTCAAAACCCAATAGCAGTGCGAAGAGGAATTTTTTTTGTCATTCCTCGCCACACAGATCTTAAACTTTAATTACTAATCTCTATGCTGGCTGCAAAAATTTGCTTCTAGTACTTCCCAATTCCGCCTGCCCCTCACCCATGCTCAGTCTGCCACACATCCTGCCTCCCACTGGCCCCAAGCCACAACTAGACTGCTGTCATTGCTGACCTCCAGTCTGGCCAAATGCTCCTAGCAGCAGCATATACCTACTTGGCACAGAGGAGAAAACAAGGACTTACGTTCTCCCTCTGCCGGATCTCTCTTTTCTTTTTCTCCTCTCCTTCTCTCTCTCTTCCTTTCTCTCTGCACTTCCTTGCATATTATAAGTAACAAGTCAAAACAGATTTCTCTCTACATCCTCTAACAGCTCCCTAGGCACATGTTACTCAGGAAAATATCAGCCATCAGACTCCGAGGTCGTGAAAAGACAGAGAAATAAACTGTGGTGAATTCTCCAGGGAAGATCATGTCCGAAACTGATTCTTGCAGTTAATCCGTCCATATGTCCTTGATGACAATGTCACAATAAGTAATCACATTATTTCTGTTCAGCGAAAGTACCCTGTAGCGTATTAACTCTACCTCCAGCTCACACCTCGAAAAAGTTTAATTTTCTTTCTTTTTTTAAAATAATTCTTTTATTTTTAATTTTTGTGGGTTCATAGTAGGTATATATGAGTTATGTGAGATATTTTGATACAGGCATACAATGTGTAATAATCACATCAGGGTAAATGGGGTGTCCATCACCTCAAGCATTTATCCTTTGTGTTACAAACAACCCAACTGTAATTTTTTAGTTATTTTTAAAATGTATAATTAAATTACTTTTGGCTAGCGTCACACAGTTTTGCTAATAAATACTAGGTCTGACTTATTCTTTATACTTTTTGTACCCCTTAAAACGTCATACTACTATGCTAGCAAACACTGCCTGGCACTGGGTCTTATTCATCCTTTCTATTTTTTGTGCCACTTTAAAAAGTTTGGTTTTCTGACACAATTATCTTTATTAGAATTAGAACTTAGAAGGAAAAGCTCACTTGCTTGTTTTTCAGCATTTGGAATGCAGTTTCAGTGTGCAGTAGTGCACACCTGCTTTTCTGAGATCACGGCACACTATAGACCATGGTATCTGGACTGCTTACTGCAATCCGTGTGTTGTTTGGCAATGATGTGCTGCTAGGAAAATCAAAACATTTGTGAAGTAAGAGGGCTTCCAAGAAGCAGTAGGACACCCTAGAGAGTGGACAGATTTTCTCCTCTTCGGTGTCAGTTTCCTTGTCAAATGGAAGACTCGTATCCACCTCTGGCAACGTACACAACATGAGTAGTAAAATACCTGCCATGTTGCATGTTCAGGGCGTCAGTTCATTGCTTCAGCCTGTGAGGCTTTGGGTTTTGTGCCTCCTGAAAGCTTACCACATCCACATTCTAATTCTTCCTTCTTACCAGGATCAATTATATTATGACTCTTCAGTAAATATTCATGATATTACAGATAAGAGCTGTGCTTTCAAGTAAGGAATAAGAGAGGGAAAGAGGCAGAACTGACACTTACGGGGTGTCTTCTGTGCATCAGCATATTGCTGAGAACTTTATACATTGTCTTCATTCAAGTTCTTGGAAACAGATTTTGAGATGGAGAATTGCACGCAGAAGTTTGATGGGGAAATATTCTCAGAGAGACACCCACGAGAAAGTAAGCAGGCTAGGATCATGCAAAGAGTGATGCTGACCTGAAATGAAGTAACAGTAGAGGTCTCAGCTTGCCATCTGGACCTTTTGGGCAGAAATGCCCTTCAGAGTTACCCCAGATTGAGGCAAGGGGTTGGATCTGGCATGTCCACATAAACCAGTCATTGACCAGAGACTACCTCTGGGAGGGAATGTCACATTGGATAGGGCATTCCATGCTGCCAAGGGCAGCTCCTGCCAGGGCACAGCTGTGAGCCCTCAGCAGGCATCACCATTGAGGGACTGTACCAGGAGATTGCAGTGGGGGAGAGAATCTCGTTACATAAACCCTGAAAAGGGGATCTAGGCAGAGCACCACAGTATCCACCACAGTTTATCCCCTGCACCTAGATCCACTTGCTTCTTACCATAAATTTTCCCCATCTAGTAACCGCTTCTCCACATTCTAACTGATCTTGTTTCCCAGGGACTTTTCAGAAAGAATAGGAAATGAACTAAAATACTGCTGCTGCAGCTGACCTCAAAGTCATAACTGACAGTCGTCATTCCTCCTCCATATTCCATTCTACATTCCCCTCACTCTCCGCGAGACCCTCTACTGGTTTGGGCAACTCCTGGTATGGTGATGCAAACCCTTATCCCTGGTCACCTTGCATTTCATAGGCCATGGCTGTTATAATTATTTACTTTGGGTATGTGAGCAATAATTACGTTCTGTCCTGTGCTCTTTGTGCAGCAGTAGCCCTAGTTCCTCCTGATGATCAAGATGAATTCCCCCTGCCAGGACTCCTTTCCTGTTGTCTTCTTGGCACAGGGAACCTGAAGGGACCAGATAGCAGCCATACTTTCAAGTTCATGGTGCTTCTACCATTCCCTGGTGAAAGCATTCTTCTCTGGAAGCCAGAATGAATAGGGCCTAAGCTGATGGTGTATACCACATTTTGGAGAATGGTGCCCCATCCTTAGGGGACGTCTGACTTATACATTAAAATCCATCATGACACTCCATCCGGCCAGCAGTTTCCCGTGGGGTGAGACCAAGTTCCCGAGTCATGGACCCAATGCCACACAGCCTTTGCTGTTAAATGGGTGCATCAGTCAGAGGCAATGCTGTGCAGCATCCCACACTGATGAATCAAACCTTCTGTAAGGCCTGAGATAATGGTGCTGGGAAGAGGCTCTGGGGGCAGGAAAGACAAATTCACACCCAGAATATGTGTACACAACAGTAAAGATGAATTGCTGTCTTTTCGAGTGTGCAAGAGCTCCAAAGTAATCAACTTTCCATCAGGTGTCCGGTGTTTCCCCCTCCAGACATAGTGTCATTAGAGGCTCTGCTTGTTGCTGGAAGGTTGGGTATTTGGTAGCAGCAGTAGCTAGATCAGTCTCAGTTAGTAGGAGAGGAATTCCAAACTGTTAGGGCAATCATAGCCCTATCCCTGTTACCATGACTACTCTACTCATGTTCCCATTGTTCCTCTACTGTCAAAGACTGATCAGCGGGTCTCTGATGTCAACTAATGAGTGGTTCTGTTTACTTGGCTGTTTATTGCCTCTCCCATGGTGAATACACACAGGTAGGCTTTAATACAAAGATCTTAAAACTTTATGCCCATTCTCAGCTGGGAGCGGTGGCTCATGCCTATAATCCCAGCACTTTGGGAGGCCGAGGCGGGTGGATCATGAGGTCAACAGATCATCCTGGTCAACATGGCAAAACCCCGTCTCTACTAAAAATACAAAATTTAGCTGGGCATGGTGGTGCGCGCCTATAGCCCCAGCTACTCGGGAGGCTGAGGTAGGAGAATTGCTTGAACCCAGGAGGCGGAGGTTGTGGTGAGCCGAGATCGCGCCATTGCACTCCAGCCTGGGTATCAAGAGCAAAACTCCGTCTCAAAAAAAAAAAAAAAAAA